ACAGGCATGATAATACTGTAAAATTGTGTGATTCCATTCAAAGCAGTAGAATAAGCGCCACTGCAGAATTCAAGCCATTTGCCTTTTCCATAGCTCGATGGACAATTCAGCGGCATTAGACATCGGGTCAAACTTTACTAAAAGTTGATTCTTAGCTTTGCTGTAAGTTCATTTTCATCCGGGCTCATTCTATTAACAAGTTTCAGCTCTAGAACACAAAATTCTCAAAAACTTTAATTCTACCAAAAAGTTTTTAACGTAGAATGTACGACTTGCGCTTGCCATTTATCGATTCTATTGATTTTGAAGGTTCGTTGGGAAAACCAGTACATGTGGGCGCTCCAATTGATTGATCAAGAACATCAAGAGTTACTTGAACATCAAGACATTTCCGATGAGCACGACGAAAAAGATCAAAAACCAACAGGTACTAAGCGGATTTATAATCAATGAAAAACACCAAGTAAATGTGTATAGTTAACGATTAATTCAACCCCTATACTAGCTGATAATACTTCCTCCATACGGTGGCGTTCATCGCACTATGACAGCTCAGCAAGCGAAGATACACACACAGAAGATACTAATCGGCGTAGTACTGGTAAGTCAGAACTAAATAAGCTGCGAATACAGTTTCACAAGGTCGTTCAGTGTTGTTGGACTCGAAAGATATGCCCGTTCTTCCGCCCCCAGTACTTGGCGTTTTTCTGTCACGTTCAATTTCAACGAGGCAGCAGAGTAAACTGACAAGATCCGAAAGCGCTCTGAGTCGTAGAGCCAGACGGTGAGCGATATCAGTTATTTCAGAAGACTCAAAACGACATATCTTAAACAGAACTTTGGTCAAGCTTATTTTATGTTGATTGTATGGGTATAGGTCTTAAAGTTATGTAAATATAAATTCACTTTGGGTGGGCACCATGATACATGAGAAATCTCTTCTTATTTAGACTTTATAAGGAACAGTAATCTGAAGCAGCCATTTATTTTGAAAAAAAAA